TATACATAAAAAACTCAAACTATTGAATACGTGAATTAATACTTTTAGATAATTTATATGATTAAAGTATGCATTAATTTTTACCACTTTTTTTTCAATTATAATTTTGAATTAGAAATATTTATATTTACTATTTATTAATTATATCTACGTGAATTTCATATTATATATGCACATAATATCACTTAAAGTTAAAGTTGTATTAAATAAAGTGTTTATGTGCTAGAACCTTCTTAGAGAATATAAAGTTTCAATCAGACGGATATTGAATTGTTACTTTCGATTAAAAAAATAATATTTTTAATGTGGAAAGTTTCAAATTCAAAATCTTCCACTACACAAATTTCTTGAAGAAAAAAAGAAGAAAGTCATAGGCACATAGGTTGGTTTCACCCCAAGAACACTCTTCCATAAATTAATCACTGATACAAATAACATAACAAATTATTACCATCCTTTATTGGAAAAAGCAACCTAAATGAAAGATTATCTTATATAAATTTTATCAAAAACATATTGATTCAATAATGATATAAAATAATATTAATTACTTATTGAATAACATTAAACCAATTATACATTATTTATTATGTAAAATAAATTAATTTAATATATTTTTTATTTTTTTATTTGTATATCATTTTATTCATATATAATTATTTTTATTTTCTTAATTTTTCTTATATTAACTTTTAGTGTTAGAAATTCTTTTAGAAAACCTTTTACTTTTTTTTCAACTTCATCTAAAACTCGACTTAAAAACCTAAATCTAAAAGCAAACGTGTCAGCTCTATTTTATTTCCCAACAAGAAAATTAATTCATATTTATTTAAAGGATAGTTTACCTATACCATTTTTATTTAATTAATTGAAATATTTTCTATAAATAAATTTGATTAAAATTTTAAAATAAATAATATTTTGAACATAAAAATCAACCTTAATAATTATATCACAGAAGATACGAAGTCAGAATATTTTTATAGATGAAATATTAATAGATAAAAAAATGGTCTCATTTCTATTTACCCTCATATATCTTAACTCAAAATCAATGATAATATATATATATATATATATATATATATATATATATATATATTTTATTTTTATTTTTTTTGAAAAAGTATATTTTTATATAAAATCTTATATAAATGCGTATGATTAGTGTAAAATTATTAAATTAAATCCGTGATATTATGAAAATCTAATCTGAAAAAAATTATGTTAAATACTTGTAAACAAATCTCATAATTTAATGTGGTAGATGACTTCCAACTTGGTAAATGATTATTGTCGGACCTGGTAATGCCGTAATAGCCGGGGTGGTGGGCCATCGACCGCTTAAATTTAAAGAACCAGAAAACAAACATGTTCTTACTGTATTAATCCAATTACAAATTCAGCAATTTTAAAATAATTCATTTCTTTTATTGACATTCATATTCATCAAAGGTTGTTAATCGGTGTTTTAAGAGCACAGGTTACGAAATAAAAATGATTTATATTAAATAGTAACATGTGTGAAAAAGTATAGAAGAATGTATTTTTATGTATCCTAATCCAAGCAAAAATAATCAATTTTAGTTTCTTAAATACCCCTGTAATTCTGGTAGTATTTTCCTTTTTATAAAATTACTGTAATATTGATTTCAAATAAGATTTATTTATTCTTTAACAAAAAAAGACAAAAAAAAGTTCAACCTATTTTGTAGTATATATATAACTACATTAAATTTTATTTAAACAATATTAATAGTAATAGCTAAAGCTTTAATTGAATTAGTTAATTTTTCTTCACAACACCAATTTAATATTTTCCACTAACAATGCTACCGTCTAAATTAAAGAGATTAATAAAGTGAAACAAGATTGGGTCTCAGAAGCCTCTACTCTATTCATTTCTTTAGGATAAGCTGAAACAGACTTTCCTTGTCTCTTTGAAAAAACAATGTATAAAATTTTACATTTGAACATATCAAACAAGTAAAAACCTAAAATCAAAGGAGGCCATAATATTAATCCAAATACGTATGTTCAAATTAATGATTTTATAGACTTTCCTTGTCTCTTTGAAAAAACAATGTATAAAATTTTACATTTGAACATATCAAACAAGTAAAAACCTAAAATCAAAACGAGGCCATAATATTAATACAAATATGTATGTTCAAATTAATGATTTTATTATTATTATCATCATAAATTATCATCAAGTTGAGTTTGGATTTGAGACATGTATCTATGTCTCCAAACCTACTCCCAGGTTTATGTCATTTTCATTTTGGGAAAAATCCAATCTGAGCCCTAACATTGCCTGAATTATGTTTCACTGGTCAAAGAAGAAATGTTGAAATGTGAGGTAGTGTACTATGCATGGTGAGTATGGGTTTTTTTTTTTTTTTTTTTGTCATGTCTGCATTATACCACATTGAGAACAAAATTTAAGTTGAAATAGAAACTAATTATTTTGGGATCAAATAATATATTATTAATAAATATAAAAAAATAAAATTATAAATATATAAATAAATATATTAAATAATTATTAAAATTAAAATTAAAAATAATAATTATAAAATTAAATAAAAAAGAAAAAGATAAATTTATAAATATATAAATAAATATATTAAAAGATATAATTTTAAGATGACAACCATAAATTACACTTGACTTAAAAAACTGTAGAGAGGTGAGCACAACCTAAGTTCCAAAAAAATCCACTAGAGGTTTTGAATATACCAAATCAAACCAATACAGCCCTCGCCTTTATTATATATAATACCTTCTTTTGCAAATAACCCACTAACACAACACAAGTTAAGAAATTAAGCAACACAACAAAAGAAGTAGTTGAACTTTGAACATGGCAATAAGTCACGTATTCATTGTTTTCTTTGTAACCCTTTTTCCTCACCTCACAAATGCAGCATCGTGCGAATCCAATGGCGCCAATTCACCCGCATTCAATCCCTCGGGAACGCAGGCCATTCTCACCTTGAACGACTTTGGTCCCGATGGGGACGGTGGAGGCCCCTCCGAGTGCGATGGGAATTACCACCCGCTTCCGCAGCGAGTGGTGGCGCTGTCCACCGGATGGTACAATGGCGGTTCCCGGTGCGGCAAAAAGATCAGGATCACGGCGAGGAACGGTAGGAGAGCGGTGGCGCAGGTGGTGGACGAGTGCGACTCCACGCAAGGGTGTGACGGAGAACACGCGAATCAATCGCCATGCAAGACCAACATCGTTGACGCATCGGAAACTGTGTGGAATGACTTAGGGCTCAACACTGATGATGGTGAAGTAGCAATCACATGGACTATGGCATAAAAAACTCATCATCAGCGTCATCATCGGGATTAATATGTGTACTAGTACTCATGCATGTCTATCTTAATTTAAGTAATAGAATATATACTATATATTAAGTCATGTTTCATCGTCATTGGTCGAATATGTTTTTGTCACATGTTAGTATACGAAGTTAGCTGCGAATTTTCTTCAACTCAACCTTTATTAAATGGGATATTAGTATATGTTTTTTTTTGCTTGTGGATATGTCATTTTGTTCCCTGTTTCTTAGTTTTGGTCATGTTCTTGCAATTGTTCCTATTTTCAAGAAGGAAAATATTAGACTCACTCACATTCTCTTTCCAAACACTCATAATAGATTTTTTAAATTTTAAATTAAAAAAAAAAAGTTTTTGGCATTTTTTTTTCAGGTGTTCCAAGATCCTACGCATGATCACTACTCTTTCAAGAAATCATTCTTTTAGTAGCCCTAGATAACTTACGTGTTATAATTAATACCTACAAAAATACTTGATCCTTTGAAATAACAGAAAATTTTTCCTGAACACAGTTCGACCATGATTAATTTGATTTTTTATATTTTTGAAAGAAAAATAATAAAATCTTAATTCTTTACGTTTTCGTATATAATTTTTTTCACACATAATACTGATAATTATGTTAAACGGATCTAAATGGTTGACTAGGTTGAAATGTGTTTGCCACCATGGACAGGGTAGTAACATTGTCACTCTTAAATATCATTAATAATAATAAAAATATTTATAAAATAATTTAAATATATCAAATAAAATTGAGATGAAATTTTGTCACTTCTTGACAATAAAAAAAAAAAAGTTTAATGTTGTAATTAGTACTAATATAATTAGCGCTACATTGTAGATGCATCATCAATAATAATTGTCGTACATAGTTTCCTTCACATCCCCTTACTGTTGCTGTCCCTTGTATAATTAATTCTTCCATCACCAATTTGCTCTTATTTTTTTCATTTTTCTTTTACTTTGCAGCATTAAGTTAAAATCAATATGTCTTGTGTGTTTTAACATGGAATAATAGCAAACAATCCGTCTTTTACTTTGGCTCTTGTGGTGACCGGCCAAGGTTAAGAGAATTTTTTTTTATTAAACCTTCAATTATTTTCGATATTTTATAATCGCCTATTTCCATAATAAATTTTGCAATGGAAGGTTCCAAGGTTCTGTCATTGAGAATAAAAAAATGGTCACAAGAAGAAAGATTTTCTAAGCTGGATTTTGAGAAATGGTCTTTAAATTGAGCACTAAAAATAATTAATGTGATAAAACCGAGATTAATCACCCTAACCTTTACCTATATATACGATACCAATCCATGCAAAAATACACGAGAGAGTAAATTAAACAACATAGTTAGTTTTTGAGCAATGGCAAAGACTGTTGTGTTGATGATTTTCTTTTGCTTAGTGAATGTTACAGTTATAAGCCACCTTCCATTTCTCACCAACGCAGCATCGTGCAGATCCAATGGCGCTCATTCCCCCCCAGTCAATCCCTCTGGAACGCCTGCCATTCTCACTCTCAATGACTTCGGTCGCGGCGGGGACGGAGGGAGCGCCGCCGAGTGCGACGGCAGGTTCCATCCGTTGCCGCGGAGAGTGGTGGCACTGTCCACCGGATGGTACAGTAACGGCGCACGGTGCGGGAGAATGATCAGAATCAAAGCGAGAAACGGAAGAAGCACGGTGGCGAAGGTGGTGGACGAGTGTGACTCAGTGAATAACTGCCCCAGAGCATGCAAGAACAACGTGGTGGATGCGTCGGAAAGTGTGTGGAAGGATTTGGGACTCAACACTGATGATGGTGAAGTAGCAGTTATTTGGACCATGGCATAAGCTCATCATCACCTTTACAAGTTTATAATAAATTATTATAAATTCGAGAAATAAAATAAAGTGATTCTTGTTGATGAATTATTCAGAGTTCATTATTGTACTTCAGGTTTTGAATGAATTATGCAGTATTAATTCACTCATGCAGTCATATTTTGCCCTAATTTAATCACACTGTTTATCGTCGTCTTTTTTGTCCTTCTACAACGTGAATATGGCATAATTTGTTTTCTTTTAAGTTAATTTTTATTATTATTAGAAATTAAACACATGGCCTTATTCAATAAACTGAAATAGATTATTGTCTTTTTAATTTCTAGATACACCAATATTATAAATTTTCAAATCTTAATAATATCAATATTTAAATATGGATTTGAAGAAAACAAAATATGATTTGGACTAAGTCTAGATCTCTGAAAAGTTTGCAAGAACACATTCTTGCTACGATTGCAATAAAAAACAATATTTTTTTAAATTATTTTTTCTAAAATAATTGTTTTAAGATTTGTTTCATTGTACGCAATTACATTTCCACGAATTATTTATATTTCTATAAATATTTATTACAAAATGTGTTTTATTGATATTTAAGAATTTAAAAAAACTTTCAATTATATATAATTTTCATGAGAATACAAAATACAATACTTGAGAGTATGTTACAAAAAAGAAATATATAAAATTCAAAGGGTAGGTAGTAGTTTTGGTTCCTCAAAATTTTATATTATTTTAAAAACTAATAATTTTCCTCATGTGTATTTTTAGAACTTCAATAAATTTGTTTAGAAAACATTATAAAACTATTTGTACAATAAAAATATATATTTTAATATCAAATATATATATATTATTTATAATCTTTTTTATTATTGTTATTCCTTGTAATTACATGACATGTTCGATATAGTGATGTATAATATATAAATTACATATTATGTGAATAATCAGATTTTTAATACTGTCTCTTTATTTTATTTTTCCCTCATCTTATCAATTTATGAATTGATTCAGTGATGATCGTTTTTTTTCATTAAGTGTCTATAAAAATCGTTAACTTAGTTAAAGTTATTAGTGATGTACTCCTTTATTTCCTTCATCAAAATTCATTTTAAAAATCAATCAAACTTCTTTACTTTACATTTTTATTAATTTTTCATTTTTATCAATAATATTTCTACACCATGTTTAATGTAATTTGAAAAAAAAAATGAATAATGTATACTTCAATAGAGTTATAGGTTTTAATTTCTTCAGGCAAATAACAAGATATTTAATAATTTAATAAAATACTGAAGATTTACGTAGCAAAGACAAATTGAGCCAAATGATATTTATAAATTTTGTGATGGGTAGTTGGGTTTATTAAACTATATAAAAAATAATATTGATATTTTAAAAAAAAGTTTGAATAGTTCAAACGCGGGAATTTCGATAAATTCTAAAGAGATTAGGGGATATTGTACAGCACCAAACATAAGCAAAACCTAATTAACGTTATAATTAATGTTAACCAAGTTCAAAATAAAGCAAAAAGATACATGGTACTAATAGCCGGTTTTACGCAAATTTATACTAAATAGAATTTTAAAATAATATATTGGCTTAATTGAAATTTTGAATCCTATATTTTACAAAATCTATAATTATTGTCACTAGCTAGTTTTTTTCTCTGTGATTTTTAGCTTCATAAATTTAATTATCTGTAATTTTAGTCCTTCCAATTTTTTATGCAGTTTTAATAATCAGTTATTCGTAAGTTTTTTATAAAATGCATGATGTTTACAGCTTTTTAACAGTATTGAAAAGGATAGTAAATGTAGATACTTGATACTAATTATAATTTTATAGTGATTAAATATATTATGAGACTTTTTTTAAGTATTATTTTTAATAAAAATATGTTGGTATCGTATAAATAAATAAATAATATATGTTATTCTTATTATAATTTAATTAATCATTATATTAAATAAAAAAGTTTTATATAATAAAATTGTAGAGAATATTTATATAATAAATCAACAAGTTTTTTATAAATGAATAAATAATATGTTATTCTTATTATAATATTTAATTAATCATTATATTAACTTATTTAATAAAAGTGACTTGATTTTCAGTAAAAATAATATTTTAATTTGAAAATAATAAATTATCATTTTCTTTTTGGGATTTTTGTTTACTTTATAAAAATCATTTTAAATTATTATTGTTTTCTTGGAGTGTTATTTTATATATAAGATAATTCAAACATGATAATTTTTTTGTTTTGGAACTTTAGATTGGTCGGAAACTAAAAATCAGTTTTCGTTTACTTTAATATATATATATATATATATATATATATATATATATATATATATATATATATATATATATATAACCAAAAGACAATATTTTTTTCAATAATGATTTTTATCAAATATTTCGAAAAAATCACAGGGAAAGTTGAGAACTTAACTTTGAAATAGAAATAATTTTTTATATAAAAAGTATAATGTCACTCTTATTAAATCATTTGATATATAACACAACAAATTAAAACATAATCATATAATTTATAAATACTTATAATAATATTTAATATAAGAGAATTTATATATTAAAAATAACTTACTTATTATACAATTTTGTTATATAAAATAATTATTTATCTTTTACATTGTACAAACGAAAATACACCCTAAGGTAATTTATTAAATTTATCATTATTAAAAATAAACTATTAGGTAATTTTATTTTATTAAATATTTTAATAATTTCAGTTAATATTTATTTCTCAATTAATAATAATGTTATGAGTAGATTACACAGTATTTAAGTGTTGGAGTATTACTCTGCTCTTAGTTAAAATTTGCACTGTCCTTAACTGATAATAATATTTTTACCTAAATATTCTTGATATTACCATCTTTTAAAATATATATAATATCTCTTAAAATTCATTGTTAAGGAATACACATTTCATCAATCCCCAAAATATAAGTGTTAAGTGGTAAAATTTGATGTAATTATACTTTTAATTCTTATTTCTAATCATTTAAATTATATTGATTCTCATCTATCTTTTTTCCAATGTAAGATGAAATTGTAGAATGACTTGGTACAAAAGCAAAAATCATAATTGTCAAGATAATTGAAATAAAAATTGAAAGAAGGGAGAAGTTTGTCGACTTGATATTCGCTCAAGCAAGATGAATTTTTCCTTTAGCGAAAATATGTTAAAGCTTTGTGTAGTTTACCTGCTCAAACAAACATTTCTTATTTGAGCGAAAATATGTTAAAACTCTCGGGAATTCAACTTCAAGCGAACATTTTTCGCTTGAGCGAAAATCATCATTTTTCGCTTGAGCGAATATATCGCTTGAGCGAATGACGTATGTCCCAAATTCTTCTATAAAAAGATAATACGCGTTTTGAGAATTTAATTTCAGGTTTTTAGAAGGAGGTGCAGCTGTAGCTCCAATTTTCGTTCAATCTTCATTCATTCTTCATCTCTTCTTCATTTGGATCCTTGTAATGATTATTATAAGTGACTAACTTCATTCTCTTAGGATTGTATGCACTTCCTTTGAATTCTTTTGTATTTAGGTGATATTTTGATATATTAATTTATATTTTTTATGTTGTTATTCTTATCTTTTATATCTGTTTATGTTTTTATCCTTGATGTTCATATATATTGGAAAATATATCTTGAAACCTTTGATTAGGTTAAGAATATTTGCTACCTTAATTACTATGAATGATAATGGATGTATCAAATGCTTAACATTCTAAACTTAATGTTGAAAAATCTATTAAATGTATAAGGAATCTATGTTTACAATATTTTCTTATGAATTTCATGTTTAAATAATCAATGTGAATGATTTAAGTATGTGACATCAACATTTATAGGTTAATTGATATTATTAGTTGGACCTAACCATTATGCACAATAGAGAGAAAATGAAGTCAATCTTAAGTTTTTATAGTTTATCTTTTTTAAATATACTTTATAGTTCTTTACCACTTATTTTTAACCCAAATATTTATGAAAAATAAATTTTGGGTCAATATACTTAGTAAACATATGATTCGAAATTTTTAGTAAAACAGTTATTCGTGGAATCGACTTTTATTTAATTGAAATATTGTAAGATTGATAATATTTGTACCCTATCGAAACGAACAATATGTTACCCTCCTTTTAATTTTTTTTTTCAATAATTATTATGTTTAAAATATTTGGTATACTCTTTTACATTCAGATATTTGCATATCGCATTTTTTCTCTTTTCTTATTTTAGTATACACATTTTCCTCCTTTAATAGATGAAAACCCACTGCACTATTTTCCAATTTTATTTTCTTATAATGTAATCTAACGAAGAATTTTTTTTAATACTATTTGCTAATATATTTGTAAATGTATATAGCTCAGTATAATTTTAGTTAAAATGATATTTTAAATGCTGAGAAGAAATTTCTTTAACAACTTGAAGTTATGGTAGGTTATGTTTGAATTAAAAGGACAATAGTATATTTACGATAAAATGCAACAGAGGTTCAAGAAAAAAGAAATAGTTAAAATATTTATTATTTAGTTTCTATTGAAATGTTGTTGATTATTTGAGAAGTACATTCACAAATTTATAAGAAAACAATTCCTACACACAATAAAAATAAAATAATGGAACATTAAAAGACAAAAATCATTCGTCACCTTTATGTATGCATTGGAACAAATATTCATTATTTTAAACTAGGGAAAACACACTTATAGGTTGTATGTATGCATTTTTGTTATATTAAAATATTATAGTTTAAAAAAAATAATTTTGTAAAATAGTTTTAAAAGGATATATGATTTATATTCATTTAAAATAACCAAAAAGATTTAGTTTTGAGTAGAAATGTTATATATTTGCATATTTTATTAAATAATGAAATTATTTTAATTTAATAAATAAAAAATATCTAATTAAAAAATAAAATGGAAAAAAAGGTGAAGATATATAGTGTGTCTCCGTTATGTGCCTATATGTATAACTGCAAAGATTTTCCTGTAAAAACTGGAAACCATGCTACCTTCTTTTGTCTTCAACTAGATTCACACTCCATCAATACTTCCAACACAGTTCGTAAATAATGTTTTGAAAGGAGAGTAAAATAAATTTGTTACGCGTGTAATATCGAAATTGAATCTAGAACAAGAGATTCGTTTAAGATGTAAACTGCGATTCTATTTGATGTCTTTATCCCCAATAAAATAAACCTTGTCCAACCAAGAAAAAAGAGGTTAACTTTCACAAGAAAAAGAAAAAAAAAGTTAGAAATTTGAGGAGTGTATAAACCGATAAAACCGAGATTATATTACCCTAAACCTATTATATATAGGATATCATGCAATGGCTTTGTTACTCAACCGAAGGAAAATAATAAAAAGGTTGAGCAACATGGCGAGTGTTGGTGGGATGGTGCTTTTCCTTTGCCTTGCAACCCATCTTCCATATCTCACAAACGCAGAATCCGGCAAATCCAATGCTCATCATCATCCCCCCGGCTACAAACCCTCGGGAACGCACGCCATTCTCACTCTCAACAACTTTGCTCGCGGCGGGGACGGAGGGGGCGCCTCCGAGTGCGACGGCAAATTCCATCCGCTGCCGGAAAAAGTGGTCGCACTCTCTACCGGATGGTACGAAAACGGCGCTCGTTGCGGGAGAATCATCAGAATCAAAGCCAGAAACGGAAGGAGCACTGTGGCTAAGGTGGTGGACGAGTGTGACTCCAGGCATGGCTGTAAATACAACGTTGTTGATGCTTCCGAAACTGTGTGGAAGGACTTGAGATTGAACACCAATGATGGTGAAGTTCCAGTGACTTGGATCTTGCTGTAATAAACTCATCAATCATCATCACAATAAATAAAATAACAAAGAATAATAATAATGATGATGATGATGAGAGGCTTGTATGCATTGGATGAAGAATGCTCCTTCATTCCATATTATAAATGTACTTCAAGATGACATCATATTTATATAATTAATAATATAAATCGTGGTACTTATATCTCAACTTCACTTTGCTTTCTTCATTCTTGTATGCAACTACTTTCTTATTTCATTGAGCAATTTTCTTGCATTTTTCCATTAGTAATGTAGGAAGTAATTACACTCCAGTATTTTTAAATTTAAAGAAAAAATGCTAACGACTAAGAGGTGTTCTTGTTGATGCACTCTTGTTATGATAGTTTGTAATTTTTTTATATATCAATACATTCTTTTTTAAAGATGAAAATGATATCCAACAACACTATAATAGATGTTTGAAGCTCCCCATTATCTACTTTATGTCATGATTCATAATATAAATACTTATTAAATTCTTTCACGTATTATATATCAATTTTTTATATTAAAATCTTAAAATAAATCAATAGAAAATAAAAAATATCACCACGTTTTCCTAAAAATATATTGTCCTCAAATTTCATATATATATATATATTCTTTCTATTCCTATTTATAACACCTTTTCAAAACTACTTCATGCCCTTTAAGAAAATTAGCTAAATTAATTAGTGACAATAATTATAATATTGTTTCAAAATTACTCATAATATGATAAAGTAATTGAGTGAAGTTTTAATATTAATGAATATTTATATTAGAGAAAATTTATATTATCAATTTAAAATATTTACTACCACTTTACAGTAGAAATATGTAAATTAAATATATATATTTTTTAAAAATAATGAATACATTATTCAATTAAAAGGCGTCTTATTAAAAATAAAAGAATTTTTTTAAATAGTGTCTTATAAGACGTGATTAATTTAACAAATGAATATTTTATCTGGTTCTCCAGTATATATATATATATATATATATATATATATATATATATATATATATATATATATATATATATATTGAATTAAATTCATGTTCAAACTTTAACTTATATCATCTGCAATTAAACTTTTACTTATGGAAAGCTAATTATATGATAAAAACTATTAAACTTATGAACAAAACTAAAAATAGCAGATACTAAAATTTTGTCCTATATAATTTGAAACAGAGGAACAGTGTATCCCTCAATAGAATTAAAAATTTCACTCCTTCATGCAATCGACAAGACATTTAATATTTTGATCAAAATACTGTCAATTCACATAGCAAACATAAACTAACGACATACTTAAAAAAAAAAAAAGTATTGATTTATTGTGATCATTGCACTACAAGAAAATCGCAGTATATCAGACGGATATTTACCGACGGAATTGTAGCCGTCGGAAAATAATCATTACCGACGGAAATTACAGACGGATATAAAATATTTGTGAAATTTGATGTTACAGACGGATATATCCGTCGGTAAAATAATAATTAGTTACAGACGGATATATCCAGTCGATAAATCCGTCGGTAATTTATAGATGAATTTACCGACGGATATATCCGTCGGTAAATCCGTCGATAAATTAACAAGTAATTATCGACGGATATATCCGTCGGTAAATTCATATGTAAATTAAAAATTATTTACCGACGGTTAAATCCGTCGGTAAAATTATATAATATAATTTAATTATTCACTAATTAAAAAATAAAATATTTTTTATTTAATAATTTAATTTAATCATAATTAGATTAATTTATAATAATTTATTAAATTAAGTAATTTTAAAAATAAATATTTAATTATATATAAATATATATATATATATATATATATATATATTAAAAATATAAAAATATATAACATAAAAATATATAAATATATAAATATATATAAATATAAAATATAAAATATAAAAATATAAAAATATATAAATATATAAATATATAAATATATATATATATAAATATAAAAATATATAAAAATATATATAAATATATATAAATATATATAAATATATAAAAATATATAAAAATATATAAAAATATATATATATATAAATATATAAATGTATATAAATATATATAAATATATATAAATATATATAAATATATATAAATATATATAAATATATAAAAATATATAAAAAAATATATAAATATATATAAATATATATATATATATATATAATATATATAAATGTATATAAATATATATAAATATATATAAATATATATAAATATATATAAATATATATAAATATATATAAATATATATAAATATATATAAATATATATATAAATATATATAAATGTATATAAATATATATAAATATATATAAATGTATTTGTATATTTGTATATAAATATAATTTATTTGTAAATTGTTATCAAGAAATTCTAGTAGCTTAGTGGTTGGATTATCGACCTGACATCTATAGATCCTGGGTTCGAATCCTGCCAATGACATTTCTCTTAATCTGACAATAATTCAAGGTTATAAAAATATAATATGGAAAAATAATTGAAATAATTAATAATAAGAATATAAGGGGGAGGGGTTCTATAAAAAAAATAATGTTATAAATAAGTAAAATATTTAATAATTAATAAAATTATTACCGACGGATTTTGACCGTCGGTAATTTTAATATTTCTTGTAGTTTTGGTTGGTTTGATTGATTTTTATTTGATTTTTTAAATGATTGCTTGCTTCAGAAGTGTTTCCACAAATGCTAAACATGCACATTGCTATAGGCATAGGTAAAACCTAATTACGTTATTATTTATGCTAAGCACGTTTAGGGAAAGTGAAAGAATTTACATGCCACTCATAGCCGGTTATAGTACCTATATATATTTTTAGATTTATACACAAATTTAAACTATTTTTTTTTAATGAATTAAGATAACTTATTAAAAAAATTAGTTAATATAAAAATAAATAATCTCAAAAATATATTAGACTAAGAAAAAAATTTCTGATTGGTTTGATTTGTTTGTAGATCAGTTCAACTAGCAAGTTTTTAGATCAATCTGTTTAATAAAAAATAATATTTTTTAAATAAAAATAAAAAATATTATTTTAATATATATTATAAATTAATTTAAAAAATATTTACTTGCTCAAAAAAATAAGAATACGAGGTTTATTTAGTTTTTTAGATGAAAATAAATTATTATTTTATATCATTATATTATTTAAAAAAATCAATAATAAAGATAACAAAAATATCTAATTTTTATTTGTTAAGTGAGTAAATCCTTCTTTTGTAATTAAAATATAAAAAATAAAAATTATTTTTATTAATATAATTTTAATTTTAAAAATTTAAATTTTTAATTTATTTTTAAATATATTATTTTTATATAAATATATTATTAATTTTAAAATTTTTAATTAAATCAAAATTAACCCATTAATTTAATATACAGTCATATTAAAAATAATTATAAATCATTTTAAAATATAAATCATATTGAATATTTTTTAAAATTAACTCATAAAAATATATCAAAGTCACTCCGTTTTCACCAAAATAGTCAGTGAGATTTTTTTAATATATGACATTTAAGAGGTATAAATAATTTATTTAAATATGACATTTATAACTACTGAAAAGTAATATAACATTTATAACTTTAAATAAGTTAGAGTTAACTTTGAATATAGATTATTTTAAAAAAACTTTTAGTTTTCAGTTTTTAAAAATTAAAAAAATTGTTTGATAAGTTTTCTGTTAAAACTGTTTTTATTTTTAAGTTTTAAAAATTTTAAAAACAAAGCGATAAAAAGTTTTTTTTTGTGTCAGTTTAATGTTTTCATTAATGGATATCAATAATTTTATTAATAATTATTTATTTTTATCATTATAACATTATTTTTTAACTTTTTTTTAATATTTAAAAAAATAAAATTATTAAATATTTTTTAATTTATTTTTAAAAATATATTTTTAAAATTGATCTCTTAAACTGTTTTCAAAAACTAAAAAAAAAAAAAATTGATTCAAACCAACACTCGTTGTTTCAAATACTTGTTTTCAAATATTTTGAGTCGTTATAGGCTTATATGCAATTTATATATCTTATAATTGATGTAGCAAATACGAAGGAATGAATTTACCTAAATTATATATATAATTCACTGTATCTATTGTATTCGTATGGTAAACACTTAATCTGACCTATATCAAATTATATTTTATTTCATAATATATGATGAGAGTGTCAAATTTGTCATCATGAATTCATATATATATGTTTAACATCACGTCATCAAGTAACTGATTAGGTATTTTGAAGAATAGTCGCAGTATGTGTTTCACGCTAAACACTATACCTTAATGAAAATCTATGGTGAGTTTTGAATATCCAATGCTAAATAAGTAGAGCTTCATCCTCACCCTCGTAGAAAATGTGGAATGAAAAAAATAATTAATTTGAAAAACTCTTCATCCGTGATGATTTTGGCATGGACTTGAAAAGAGTAGAGCATACTTAAGATGGTGGAGATTACGGTGAAGATGATGGGTATGTAAGCCTACCCAAGCCTGTGCCAATCTTGTTTTGAATAAGAACATAATCCAAAGGTTGACGAATTGACCATGGATATTGCATGTATCGAGTCAAAAAGTTGGGTTCAAATGGGAGAAAAGGGCACCGGAAAAAGGTGTGGGTCAAAGACAGAGAGTGCTAACAGAATAAAATAGGGAAGAAAACGTTACTTTTTGCGATAAAATTTACTATCATATTTTGGAAGTGACGTGATTTCCATTGTTGTTGTGTAAATAAAAGAAAGCATTGGCTAAATTGGTCGGTAGTGCCAAACAGCCAACACAGATTGAGGATCAGATCAACAACGACAATTAGTTTGGTTTGCA